CCACCGTGGCGAGCGTGCCTCTCGTGGTGCCTACACAGACTCCTAATGCTTAACACCTCGCTCCCCTCTGCGCCCTCTCCCCTCCCCCTTTTCCCCTTTCCCCTTCCCCTTGCCCTCCCCTACAGATGTACCACCGTGGCGAGCGCGCCTCTCGTGGTGCCTACACAGACGCCAACAGTCGCTTGATTACGGCCGGGCATTTCTGGTAACTAGCCCCAGTCACCTGTGCTGCTCATCTTGCTCGTTTGGAATTATCAAAAACCGATTCCGGTACACAGTTGCATTCACCCATGCTGCTCGTTTAGCATTCTCAAACATTGATTCTTTTAACTAGCCCCCTTCACATGTGCTGCTTGTCTTGCTCGTTGAGAATTCTCAAACATTGATTCTGGTACACAGCCGCATTCATTCACCCATGCTGCTTTGCTATTGCAACATAATTTCAGTCCCTGCTTTGCCATCGCAGTGCTGCTTTGCCATCCCATTGCTGCTTTGCCAGTGGAACATCACGTCAATGTGTGCAAGTCTTGCTGACTACCTGTGCTGCCTGGCTGATTCTTGTGTGGCAGGTCGGGGTATGATTCAGATCCTTACAGTTACTACCATCCACCAGAGCATGCCATGGCCTCTATGCGTCCCCTACCTGATGAGGGTGAGTGGGAATGCAATAGCATGTAATACCTGTGTCATGCCATCCTTACAGTTACTACCATCCACCAGAGCATGCCATCACAACAACCACTTGGTATTCATGCCATGCCATGCCATGCCATGCCATACCATACCATGCCATGCCATACCATACCATACCATACCATACCATACCATACCATACCATACCATACCATACCATACCATACCATACCATACCATACCATACCATACCATACCATACCATACCATACCATGCCATGCCATACCCTGCCATGTCATACCATACCATACCATGCCATGCCATGCCATGCCATAACATACCATGCCATCCCATAACATACCATGCCATACCATGCCATGCCATGCCATGCCATAGCATACCATAGCATTCCATAGCCACGTGCCGGTAACCACTAACCGTTAGCCCTTTCTTGTCATCTCAAAAGTCAACTTGATGTAACACCGTGCCAGTAACCAGTCATCGTTAGCCCCTTCTCATCGTCCCAAAAGTCAACTTGATGTAACCCATGCCCCAACAGCATGCCAGTAACCAGTAATCGTTAACCCTTTCTCATAGCCACGTGCCGGTAACCAGTAACCATTAATCCCTTCTCATCGTCCCAAAAGTCAACTTGATGTAACACATGCCCCAACAGCATGCCAGTAACCACTAACCGTTACCCTTTTGCCCTTCCTATCACAGGTCGTCACTTTCGGTGGCACACAGAAGAAGGAGAGGGAGAACGAGGAGGAACAGGAGGCAGAGACGGAAGAGAAGGGAGAGATATGACAAGTGCAGGCGTGGGCGTGGAGAGAAGGGATGACGGAGGAGGAGGAGCAAGGGGAGGGATTTCCAATCCTCCTGCTCCCTCTGCACCGTCCTTTTCTCCTTATCCCTCAGACTCTACCCGTCCCTCTTCCTCCGCCCGACCCCCCAACCCGCCCGCCCATGCACATGCTTCTGGGTGCCCCTACCTTGCTGCTGCAGCAGCTGCTGCTCACTCGGGTGCGCCCCCCTCCTCGTCCCGCTCCCCTGCCCCTCCTCCTGCCTTCCCCCATCCTCTCTTTCCTGGGTCTTCCCACAATCCGCATCATTCCCTCCCGCACCACCAGCACCAACAGCAGCACCAGCAGCAGCAGCAGCACCAGCCGCCGCACCCCATGCACCACCAGTCTCCCTCGTACCCCTCCGCACATAGTGGGTTTTCAGGGCCAAACTGGGGGCAGGAGATGGAATGGGAGCCATGGGAGCATGCAAATCCAAATCCTGCTACTAGATCATGGTGGCATGAAGGCTTTCCTCCCTCTCGCCAGCAGCAGGAGCGTTTTCCCCCTCCCCGTATGCAACATCAGGAGAGTTTCCCTTTTCCCCATTCTGGCCTGTATGAGGAGAGTTTTCCGCCTTCCCGCATGCAACATCAGGAGGACAGGCGAAGGTTGGGAATGTGGGAGGGCAGACCCATGGGCAGAGGGGTGCAGGACGAGGGTGACTATAACGAATGGATGAGGGGAATGAGAGAGCGGGAGTTCGGCCCCGCTCCTTCCCCTCGCCCTCCCCGCCCCCCGCCCCCTCCTCCTCTTGCTCCCTCCAATCCCTCCACCTCCCAACCCCGGCACCACCGCCCCATCCGTCCGTCTCCTCTCCCCTCTCCAAGGTCCTCCCGCATGCACCCTCTGCCACAGACTGGCCAGAGCAATCACCCACCACCACCGCCTCGCATCCCACAAACACACCCCTTGGGCCCCCGCCACATACCTCCACACCCGGTGCCACGTCAACCCGAAGCACACCCCTTGGCTCCCCGTCAGGAATCACAACACCCCTTGTCACGTCACCAGGGCAGTTACGGGCAGCCCCGTATGCCTCCTGATGGTGGGGTTGGTGGTGGGGGGAGGTCTTCTGCAGGGCGAGGGGGAGAGAGGGAGCATGGGGAACGGGGTAGGGGAGGAGGAGGTGAGGCAGGAGGGTGGGGATGGGGATCAGAGGGAGCAGCAGGAGTGAGGGGTGCTTCTTCTGGTGCTGCTGGTAATGGTGCTGCTGCTGCCTCTGCTGCTGTCGGTGGCAGTGGCAGCGATGGTAGTGGTGGTGGTGGTGCTTCTGCTGGTGGCAACGGCGTGGGTGCGGTGAACTGGCAGCGGGAGGAAGATCCATCAAGCCTACGCAGTGCTGCTTCCGCTGTGGCCGCTGCTGATCCCACAGCCCCGCCTCCCCTCCCTGCTACGACCGCCACCCCCTGGTTATCCCGCACTCGCTCCTCCCGGCACCCAGCAGAACCGTTCAGAGGCGGCCCTCCCTTTGCCTCCTCTGATTTCCCCCGGGACTCCAGAGTTCCTCTCGCTTCTGCTGCTGCCATGGGGAGTGGTGGCTGCTGCTGCTGCTTCTGCTGCTGCTGCTGCTGGTGCACGTGCAGGTGTGGGGTGGATGGTACAAGGCCAAGGCGTGGCAGCATCATCACCATCACAGTTGTCGTTGTTTGAGCGTCAGGGCAACGAGGTGAGTGGGAGTGCTGCTGCTGGTGCCGGTGGGGTGGCTGTGTGGGGTGGATGGCACAAGGCCAAGAAATGGGATCATTATTATCATCGTTGCCATCATCGTTGAACTTGTTTGAGCATCAGGTCATAGAGGTGAGTGTGGGGGTTCTGAGTTCGCTTGAGGGAAAGGCAGGGGTGTGTTGTTACTGTGATGTGATGATCCTATGACGCTCAGACGTATGACACATCCCCATGTCTCAAGTCAGTAGGAATGTCACGGGTGTGTTGCTGGTGAGATGCTCTCATGTGGAATCACTTTGAGGAGTCTCAAGCCATCTCAAAAGTTGCCTCCACCCCCTCTCCCTCCCTTCCTCCCCCTCTCCCTCCCTGACAGTATCGTTGTCTCCTGTGCCCGTCTTCTGCCTCCATGACCACCATCACCCACCTCTCCCTCCTCCCACACCGCCCGCTCTTCCCTGACCTCCCTCGCTTGAGAGATCACATGCTGCTGAGCCATGGGGTTGACCCCGTTACTTCCCACATGCCTCTCGCCATGCTGTGACCTGCCTGCCCTTCTGCACCGCACAGCACCACTGTCCTACCCTGTCTCACCGCCCGAACATGATTCGCCTGAGGGACCACATGCTTCTCAGCCGTGACGTCGACCCCATGCCCATTTGCACCGCACAGCACCGCACCACTCGCCCTTTCCCACCTCCCTAACGTGAGATAAGCATGCCGCTGAGGTACCGTATGATCATCTTCACCGCGCAGCACCGCTCTGGCTTCACACTGGTCGGGACACTGTGGGTGGTGGACCTTCATGGCTGGGCATGGACTCATCTAATGGTCGCCAGTGGCCCTCTGCTGCTCCTCATATACGCCGCGCTCCACCGCACAGCACCTTCGCTGTGTCGCCCAACACTTGTACAAGGAGAAGGTCTGTTGTGAGTGTGAGTGGCTTGTCTGCGTTTCCGATAAATAATCAACATCGACTCTGCTCTATGTTTCTGTGACTGCTCAGCACATCCTTTCGACCGCTGTGCTTGTGATGTGATAACACTCCTCACTTGAGATTTCTTTTTTTTTGTTCCATGTTTCTTGTATATTGGCTCTGCTAGACCTCGCGAGATGCTTACACATGTATGTGCGTGTTGTGTACCTATCATTAGGAATCACTTCAAACGGCTGCTTACCACTTTGTGCATCTCAAGAGAGGAATATCATACAGCAGATAGCACGGGTAGAGCGAAGCGAACGAAAAAGAAGAGGCATCACTGGTACCGTAACTCACGAGCATCCCCAAGAGCAACAAGCTGAATGGTGGTCTGCAAAGCTTCCAGGTCTCACTGGTGCAGCGCAGCTGCATACGAAGTTGCTGCTTGCAAACAGCACCGAATCCCCTCAGCAACACTAACCCCCCAGAGTTTTCCTTGTGCTCTGCAACTCTCAAAACTTACGTGTACTAGTGCCAGGTTACAAGTTGCAACTCACTCATAGCAACACATCCGTGTACAAATTACTGCCTATGTTACCGTAAGAGTTTTGCCATGCCCTTACCGTTCCTCCCCAGCCTATCAACACCACCACTCCACCGGAAGCAACTTGAGCCCTCTAACAACCCTGGGTGCCACTGTAAAGGGTACAGCACCCCCCTCCTCCACCGCTGCTGCTCCCTCCTTCAAGGTCCTCCCTTCCACCTCTGCCTCTGCCTCCCCAGCCTTATATCAACAACTCCACTCCACCGGAAGCAACTTGAGCCCTCTAACAACCCTGGGTCCCACTGTAAAGGGTACAGCCCCCTCTTCCTCCACTGCTGCTGCTCCCTCCTTCAACCTCCCCTCCACCTCTGCCTCTGCATCCCCAGCCTTATATCAACAACTCCACTCCACGGGAAGCAACTTGAGCCCTCTAACAACCCTGGGTGCCACTGTAAAGGGCACAGCACCCCCCTCCTCCACCACTGCTGCTGCTCCCTCCTTCAACCGCCCCTCCATCTCACCACTCCACAGGAGCACCTTGAGCCCTCTAACAACCCTGGGTGCCACTGTAAAGGGTACAGCCCCTCCCTCTTCCACCGCTGCTGCTCCCCCCCGCAACCTCCCTTCCAATTCACCCTGCCTGTCCCCCTCCCCACCTCCCCCCACCACCACCCCTCGCTGCACTACCAGGGTCATATTGCCCTGGGAGGCGGTTGTTACCGTATTGTGAAGGCGATGCCAGTAGTACTAGTGTGAGGGCGATGCCCCACAGCAACTCCACTCCACGGGAAGCAACTTGAGCCCTCTAACAACCCTGGGTGCCACTGTAAAGGGTACAGCCCCTCCCCCCTCCACCGCTGCTGCTGCCTCCTTCAACCTCCCTTCCAACTCACCCTGCCTGTCCCCTTCCCCACCATCCCCCAGCACCACCCCTCGCTGCACCACCAGCGTCATATTGCCCTGGGAGGCGGTTGTTGTTGTGAACGCAACCCCGTTCGGCTGGGCTGAGGCATTGTGTGATTCAGATGGTTGAAGCAGGGCGGAGCTGTAGGGGGGTATTGGGGAGAGGGAGACGGGGGAAGAGGGAGACAGGGGGAGAGGGAGAAAGAGGTGTGATTACCCTTATCCCTCTCTGGCCACCTCCCCCCACCACCACCCCTCGCTGCACTACCAGGGTCATATTGCCCTGGGAGGCGGTTGTTGTTGTGAAGGCGATGCCAGCAGCAGGTGCTGAGGAGTTGTGGGAGGATGAGTCATGGGAGTCAGCTTGGTGGAGCAGGGCAGAGCTGTGGGGGGAGAGGGGAGGGGAGGGAAGTAGGAACAATGGGGGGAAAGGAGGAGAAGGGGAGCGAGGAAGAGAAGGAGTCAATGCTGCACTACCAGCGTCATATTGCCCTGAGAGGCGGTTGTTGTAGTGAAGGCGATACCGCTAGAAAGAGAGGAGGAGCTGTGGGACTCGGCTGGGTGAAGCAGAGCGGAGCCGTGGTGGGCGGAGGAGGGGAAGAGTGGGGAAGGGAGGGAAGAGAGGGAAGAGAGAGCAGAGAGGAGAAAGAGATGGTCATTGGAAAGGCGATGCCACTAGAAAGGGAGGAGTTGTGGGATTCAGCTGGGTGAAGCAGGGCGGAGCTGTGGGGGAGGGAGGGGAGAGAGGGAGAAAGCAGAGGGGAGTGAAGGAGAAAGGGAGCATCACCTGAACATTCATCTGCAAATTCACCTGAAGCATTCGCGTGAAGCATTTGCCGTTACCTGTATCACCTCGCAGATGGCAGGAATCCTCCTGCCCCTCCTCGAGCACTCATCTGTCCACCCACCCGTCCCCGACACGACACCTCACCCAGGCTGATATGAAACTCGTTGAACGAGCTCAGCCGCCGCCTCTGTGCGCGCAAGGCAGCCGCCGCCTCTGTGCGCGCAAGGCAGCCGCCGCCTCTGTGCGCGCAAGGCAGCCGCCGCCTCTGTGCGCGCAAGGCAGCCGCCGCCTCTGTGCGCGCAAGGCAGCCTAACTCGTGAATTGAACCCAACTCATTCAACTTAAGCCAGCCCTTACCTGTAAGCCCGGCAGACTGCCTGAATGCTTACCTCCCTCTGCGTGCTCTCATCGCCCGTCCATCCCCTTTCGCCCCGTCACTCGTGAGCTCAACCCAGCTCGTTCGACCCATCTCAGCACTCACCTGTAAGCCTGGCAGATGGCATGAATCCTCCTTCCTCTCTGCGTGCTCTCATCGCCCGTCCATCCCCTTTCGCCCCGTCACTCGTGAGCTCAACCCAGCTCGTTCGACCCATCTCAGCACTCACCTGTAAGCCTGGCAGATGGCATGAATCCTCCTTCCTCTCTGCGTGCTCTCATCGCCCGTCCATCCCCTTTCGCCCCGTCACTCGTGAGCTCAACCCAGCTCGTTCTACCATCTCAGCACTCACCTGTAAGTCTGGCAGATGGCATGAATCCTCCTTCCTCTCTGCGTGCTCTCATCGCCCGCCCATCCCCTTTCGCCCCGCCACTCGTGAGCTCAACCCAGCTCGTTCGACCCATCTCAGCACTCACCTGTAAGCCTGGCAGATGGCATGAATCCTCCTTCCTCTCTGCGTGCTCTCATCGCCCGTCCATCCCCTTTCGCCCCGTCACTCGTGAGCTCAACCCAGCTCGTTCTACCCATCTCAGCACTCACCTGTAAGCCTGGCAGATGGCATGAATCCTCCTTCCTCTCTGCGTGCTCTCATCGCCCGTCCATCCCCTTTCGCCCCGTCACTCGTGAGCTCAACCCAGCTCGTTCGACCCATCTTAGCACTCACCTGTAGGCCCGGCAGATGGCATGAATCCTCCTTCCTCTCTGCGTGCTCTCATCCGCCCACCCGACCTTGAATCCACCTGTCAATCGCTCCCACAGGGATGGCAGCGGCACCTAACTTAGCAATCACCTGTAGGCCCGGCAGATGGCATGAATCCTCCTTCCTCTCTGCGTGCTCTCATCCGCCCACCCGACCTTGAATCCACCTGTCAATCGCTCCCACAGGGATGGCAGCGGCACCTAACTTAGCACTCACCTGTAGGCCCGGCAGATGGCATGAATCCTCCTTCCTCTCTGCGTGCTCTCATCCGCCCACCCGACCTTGAATCCACCTGTCAATCGCTCCCACAGGGATGGCAGCGGCACCTAACTTAGCACTCACCTGTAGGCCCGGCAGATGGCATGAATCCTCCTTCCTCTCTGCGTGCTCTCATCCGCCCACCCGACCTTGAATCCACCTGTCAATCGCTCCCACAGGGATGGCAGCGGCACCTAACTTAGCACTCACCTGTAGGCCCGGCAGATGGCATGAATCCTCCTTCCTCTCTGCGTGCTCTCATCCGCCCACCCATCCCCAAACCAACCCGTCACATATCGCAGCCTGTAAGTGAACCCAGGTCATTCAGCCCACTCGGACCACTCGGCCCTCACCTGTACGCGCGGCAAATTTTGTGAATCCTTCTCCCTCGCTGCGTGCTCTCATCCGCCCATCCATCTCCAAATCGACACGTCACCCGTTCCCACAGGGATGGTGGCGGCACGTCTGCATGCACGTTCATCTGGAGGGGTGGAGAGGGGTGGAGGGGGGTGCAGAGGGGTAAGGGTGGTTTTTTGTCACTCGCTCGCTCCCACAGGGATGGTGGCGGCACGTCTGCATGCACGTTCAACTGGTGGTTGGGGAATGCAGAGGGGTTAAGGGGGTTGTCGTGCGTTTCTATGCAGCGTAGTGCGAGGCAGAGGGATTGGTGGGGGCACGTCTGCATGGACGTTCATCTGGTGGTGTGGAGAGGGGTGGAGTCGGGTAAGGGTGGCGTTTACGTCACCAGCACCCACAGGGATGGTGGTATTATGTCCGCATGCACGTTCATCTGGTGGTGTGAAGGAGTTGAATGGAGTGTGGAGGAGTTGAATGGAGTGTGGAGGAGTTGAATGGAGTGCAGTGGAGTGGAGTGGAGTGCAGTGGAGTGGAGTGGAGTGCAGTGGAGTGGAGTGGAGTGCAGTGGAGTGGAGTGGAGTGCAGTGGAGTGGAGTGGAGTGCAGTGGAGTGGAGTGGAGTGCAGTGGAGTGGAGTGCAGTGGGGGTGGAGTGGAGTGGGAGAAGACACATTCCTCTGGGGGAATGAATGGATCAATGGATTCTTTGCATTGACCTTTTTCCACGCTCAAGGGTTTACTTGCACCCCCAAAATCACCTGCCCCCCACCCTCACACCATCGCATGCAGGGCTCTGCTTTCCCTCACACACTCACCACTGACCATACTCACTCACTCACCACTGACCATACTCACTCACTCACCACTGACCATACTCACTCACTCACCACTGACCATACTCACTCACTCACCACTGACCATACTCACTCACTCACCACTGACCATACTCACTCACTCACTCACGAAGACCTTTCTACCCCCCCACACACTCACCACCAGTGTGCCGTGCTTCGGATGCACCACCCGAGCCAAGGCTCTCAGGAACGGGCCGTCCCTATCCAGCAGCTCCGACGGAGTCTCATCTGAGCCGTCGAACACATCCACCAGCACCAGATCGTACGGCTCCTGTTGCTCCTCCCCTTCTCCTGCATCTGCACTCTCCCCTGCCCCCCGTCTACCACCCTCCACCGCACCCTCCCCTCCTGCTGCACTCTCCCCATCCCCCCCTCCTCTCCCAATCCACTCTGCAGCCCTCACAACGAAGCTCACTGCATCCTCGTTATAGACTGCCACCCTTCCATACAATTCCCGCCATACCACCCGCTCTGCTGCAGCTGCTGCTGTGGCATCTGCTGCTGAACTCTCCCCCTCTGCCTGTGCTGTCACTCCCGCACGCGAATCTGTCATTGGTCTGACGGCCCATGCTGGGAAGCCCGAAGGCGAATCCCCTTTTGGTCTGACGGCCCATGCTGGGAAGCCCATGTGGCGTGTGGCTGCTGCGATGACTGCTGGATCGATCTCCACTGCGTCTATGTGGGCGGCTGGGAGGAGCGAAGCAGAGAGCACATTGGGGGGAGAAAGACTGCAAGGCAGTGAGGGGAGAAAGGACATGCTGGGAAGCCCATGTGCCGTGTGGCTGCTGCGATGACTGCTGGATCGATCTCCACTGCGTCTATGAGGGCGGCTGGGAGGGGAGGGTGAGAGAGAGGAAGGGGAAGTGGGGAAGAAGCGTGTGGGGGACACGCAAGTAAGGGGAAGAGCCCATGTGCTGCCATGTGGCTGCTGCGATGACTGCTGGATCGATCTCCACTGCATCTATGTGGGCGGCTGCGGAAAGGGGAAAGTGGGGGAAGAGAATAGAGGGCATTAGGGGAAAGGCATGAATGTAAGCAGTAGCCGAGACAGCCCATGTGCTGTGTAGCTGCTGCTATGAGGGCGGCTGGGAGGAGAGGAGAAGCAGAGAGCACATTGGGGACAAGGTAGAGAGGCAGCAGCGGAGACAGCCCATGTGCTGTGTAGCTGCTGCTATGAGGGCGGCTGGGAGGAGAGGAGAAGCAGAGAGCACATTGGGGACAAGGTAGAGAGGCAGCAGCGGAGACAGCCCATGTGCTGTGTAGCTGCTGCTATGAGGGCGGCTGGGAGGAGAGGAGAAGCAGAGAGCACATTGGGGACAAGGTAGAGAGGCAGCAGCGGAGACAGCCCATGTGCTGTGTAGCTGCTGCTGGAAGAGTGGCAGGCTGCCCCCTCCTAGCCCCAGGCACAGCACGCGCAGGGGTGGGGAGGAGGCAGCAGGAAAGGCAGGGAAGTATGACAGGCACGTACAGGTGATGCAGGTGCGACTCACAGGGCAGGGCGTGAGCGAGGAAGAGAGGCAGACTGCCCCCTCCTAGCCCGAGGCAGAGGACGCACAGGGGTGGGGAGGAGGCAGCAGGGGAGGCAGAGGAAGAGGCAGGCAGGGGCGGGTGGTGCAGGTGAGACTTACTGGGTAGAGCGTGAGCGAAGAAGAGAGGCAGACTGCCCCCTCCAAGCCCGAGGCACAGAGCGCGCAAGTGGAATTGGTTAAGTTCTGTGCCACTTCCCTCGTGCAAGGGATGGGAAGTAGCAGGTGGGTGGGTGGGACTCACAGGGTAAAGCATGAGCGAGGAAGAGGGGCAGGCTGCCCCCTCCTAGCCCGAGGCACAGCACGCGCAGGGGTGGAGAGGGAGCAGGCGAGGCAGAGGAAGAGGCAGGCAGGTGCAGCTGGTGCAGGTGGCAACTGGTGAGGGCCGCTGCTGCCATTGACTTGAGATCTGCGTTACGTGAGGTACACGGCATAGAGTGGAGTGGGGTGAGAGAGAAGGGACAGAAGACACCGGGTATGGGACAGAAGACACCGGCGCTGCTACCATGGACTTGAGATCTGAGTCATGTGGGCAAGCAGAGAGGGGGGGGGGGAGGCAAGGGCAATTGGGGAGAAGAGAGGGGTTGGGGGCAGGGTAAGGCGAGAGCAATGGGGGAGAGGAGAGGGGTTGGGAGGGAGAGCAGTGTGGGAGAGAAGGGGAATAGGGAAGCAGAGCGAGAAGGAGCCCATGGCTAATAGTATGCTGATGCTGATGCTGACGCTGATGCTGATGCTGATGCTGATGCTTATGCTGATGCTGACGCTGATGCTGATGCTGATGCTGATGCTTATGCTGATGCTGATGCTGATGCTGATGCTGATGCTGATGATTATTCTGATGCTGATGCTGATGCTTATGCTGATGCTGATGCTGATGCTGATGCTGATGCTGATGCTGATGCTGATGCTGATGCTGATGCTGATATGCTGATGCTTATGCTGATGCTGATGCTTATGCTGATGCTTATGCTGATGCTGATGCTGATGCTGATGCTGATATGCTGATGCTTATGCTGATGCTGATGCTTATGCTGATGCTTATGTTTATGCTGATGCATATGCGGATGCTGATGCTGATGCTGATGCTGATGCTTATGCTGATGCTGATGCTGATGCTGATGCTGATGCTTATGCTGATGCTGATGCTGATGCTTATGCTGATGCTTATGCTGATGCTAATGCTGATGCTGATGCTGATGCTGACGCTGATGCTGATGCTGATTCTGATGCTGAATGCTGAATGCTGATGCTTATGCTGATGCTGATGCCGATGCTGATGCTGATCCTGAATGTTGATGCTGATGCTGATGCTGATGCTGATGCTGATCCTGATGCTGATGCTGATGCTGATTCTGATGCTGATGCTGATGCTGATGCTGATTCTGATTCTGATGCTGATTCTGATGCTGATGCTGATGCTGATTCTGATGCTGATGCTGATGCTGATGCTGATGCTGATGCTTATGCTGATGCTGATGCTGATGCTGATGCTGATGCTGATGCTGATGCTGATGCTGATGCTGATGCTGATATGCTGATGCTTATGCTGATGCTGATGCTTATGCTGATGCTTATGCTGATGCTGATGCTGATGCTGATGCTGATATGCTGATGCTTATGCTGATGCTGATGCTTATGCTGATGCTTATGTTTATGCTGATGCATATGCGGATGCTGATGCTGATGCTGATGCTGATGCTTATGCTGATGCTGATGCTGATGCTGATGCTGATGCTTATGCTGATGCTGATGCTGATGCTTATGCTGATGCTTATGCTGATGCTAATGCTGATGCTGATGCTGATGCTGACGCTGATGCTGATGCTGATTCTGATGCTGAATGCTGAATGCTGATGCTTATGCTGATGCTGATGCCGATGCTGATGCTGATCCTGAATGTTGATGCTGATGCTGATGCTGATGCTGATGCTGATCCTGATGCTGATGCTGATGCTGATTCTGATGCTGATGCTGATGCTGATGCTGATTCTGATTCTGATGCTGATTCTGATGCTGATGCTGATGCTGATTCTGATGCTGATGCTGATGCTGATGCTGATGCTGATGCTTATGCTGATGCTGATGCTGATGCTGATGCTGATGCTGATGCTGATGCTTATGCTGATGCTGATGCTGATGCTTATGCTGATGCTGATGCTGATATGCTGATGCTGATGCTTATGCTGATGCTGATGCTGATGCTGATGCTGATATGCTGATGCTTATGCTGATGCTGATGCTTATGCTGATGCTTATGTTTATGCTGATGCATATGCGGATGCTGATGCTGATGCTGATGCTGATGCTTATGCTGATGCTGATGCTGATGCTGATGCTGATGCTTATGCTGATGCTGATGCTGATGCTTATGCTGATGCTTATGCTGATGCTAATGCTGATGCTGATGCTGATGCTGACGCTGATGCTGATGCTGATTCTGATGCTGAATGCTGAATGCTGATGCTTATGCTGATGCTGATGCCGATGCTGATGCTGATCCTGAATGTTGATGCTGATGCTGATGCTGATGCTGATGCTGATCCTGATGCTGATGCTGATGCTGATTCTGATGCTGATGCTGATGCTGATGCTGATTCTGATTCTGATGCTGATTCTGATGCTGATGCTGATGCTGATTCTGATGCTGATGCTGATGCTGATGCTGATGCTGATGCTATTGCTGATGCTGATGCTATTGCTGATGCTGATGCTGATTCTTATGCAGATGCGGATGCTGATACTGATTCTTATGCTGATGCTGATGCTGATGCTGATTCTGATGCTGATGCTGATGCTGATGCTGATGCTGATTCTGATGCTGATGCTGATTCTGATGCTGATTCTGATGCTGATGCTGATGCTGATTCTGATGCTTCTGATGCTGATGCTGATTCCGACGCTGATGCCGATGCTGATTCCGACGCTGATGCTGATGCTGATTCTGATGCTGATGCTGATGCTGATGCTGATGCTATTGCTGATGCTGATGCTGATGCTGATGCTGATGCTGATGCTGATGCTGATGCTGATGCTGATGCTGATGCTTATGCTGATGCTGATGCTGATGCTGATTCTGATGCTGATGCTGATGCTGATGCTGATTCTGATGCTGATTCTGATGCTGATGCTGATTCTGATGCTGATGCTGATGCTGATGCTGACGCTGATGCTGATGCTGATGCTGATGCTGATTCTGATGCTGATTCTGATGCTGATGCTGATTCTGATGCTGATTCTGATGCTGATGCTGATGCTGATGCTGATGCTTCTGATGCTGATGCTGATTCCGACGCTGATGCCGATGCTGATTCCGACGCTGATGCTGATGCTGATTCTGATGCTGATGCTGATGCTGATGCTGATGCTATTGCTGATGCTGATGCTGATGCTGATGCTGATGCTGATGCTGATGCTGATGCTGATGCTGATGCTGATGCTTATGCTGATGCTGATGCTGATATGCTGATGCTGATGCTTATGCTGATGCTGATGCTGATGCTGATGCTGATACTGATGCTGATATGCTGATGCTGATGCTGATATGCTGATGCTGATATGCTGATGCTGATGCTGATGCTTATGCTGATGCTGATGCTGATGCTGATGCTTATGCTGATGCTGATGCTGAATGCTGATGCTGATGATTATGCTGATGCTGATGCAGATGCTGATGCTGATGCTGATGCTGATGCTTATGCTGATGCTGATGCTGATGCTGATATGCTGATGCTGATGCTGATGCTGATGCTGATGCTGATGCTGATGCTGATGCTGATGCTTATGCTGATGCTGATGCTGATGCTTATGCTGATGCTGATGCTGATATGCTGATGCTGATGCTTATGCTGATGCTGATGCTGATGCTGATGCTGATATGCTGATGCTGATATGCTGATGCTGATATGCTGATGCTGATGCTGATGCTTATGCTGATGCTTATGTTTATGCTGATGCATATGCGGATGCTGATGCTGATGCTGATGCTGATGCTTATGCTGATGCTGATGCTGATGCTGATGCTGATGCTTATGCTGATGCTGATGCTGATGCTTATGCTGATGCTTATGCTGATGCTAATGCTGATGCTGATGCTGATGCTGACGCTGATGCTGATGCTGATGCTGATGCTAATGCTGATGCTGATGCTGATGCTGATATGCTGATGCTGATCCTGAATGTTGATGCTGATGCTGATGCTGATGCTTATGCTGATGCTGATGCTGATCCTGATGCTGATGCTGATGCTGATTCTGATGCTGATGCTGATGCTGATGCTGATGCTGATGCTGATTCTGATTCTGATGCTGATTCTGATGCTGATGCTGATGCTGATGCTGATTCTGATGCTGATGCTGATGCTGATGCTGATGCTATTGCTGATGCTGATGCTATTGCTGATGCTGATGCTGATTCTTATGCAGATGCGTATGCTGATACTGATTCTTATGCTGATGCTGATGCTGATGCTGATTCTGATGCTGATGCTGATGCTGATGCTGATGCTGATTCTGATGCTGATGCTGATTCTGATGCTGATTCTGATGCTGATGCTGATGCTGATTCTGATGCTGATTCTGATTCTGATGCTGATGCTGATGCTGATGCTGATTCTGATGCTGATGCAGATGCTGATGCTGATGCTGATGCTGATGCTGATGCTGATGCTATTGCTGATGCTGATGCTATTGCTGATGCTGATGCTGATGCTGATTCTGATGCTGATGCTGATGCTGATTCTGATGCTGATTCTGATGCTGATGCTGATTCTGATGCTGATTCTGATGCTGATGCTGATTCTGATGCTCATGTTGATGCTGATGCTGACGCTGATGCTGATGCTGATGCTGATCCTGATGTTGATGCTGATGCTGATGCTGATGCTTATGCTGATGCTGATGCTGATCCTGATGCTGATGCTGATGCTGATTCTGATGCTGATGCTGATGCTGATGCTGATGCTGATTCTGATTCTGATGCTGATTCTGATGCTGATGCTGATGCTGATGCTGATTCTGATGCTGATGCTGATGCTCATGCTGATGCTGATGCTATTGCTGATGCTGATGCTATTGCTGATGCTGATGCTGATTCTTATGCAGATGCGGATGCTGATACTGATTCTTATGTGCTGATGCTGATGCTGATGCTGATTCTGATGCTGATGCTGATGCTGATGCTGATGTTGATGCTGATGCTGATGCTGATGCTGATTCTGATGCTGATTCTGATGCTGATGCTGATGCTGATTCTGATGCTGATTCTGATTCTGATGCTGATGCTGATGCTGATGCTGATTCTGATGCTGATGCAGATGCTGATGCTGATGCTGATGCTGATGCTATTGCTGATGCTGATGCTATTGCTGATGCTGATGCTGATGCTGATTCTGATGCTGATGCTGATGCTGATACTGATTTTATGCTGATGCTGATGCTGATGCTGATTCTGATGCTGATTCTGATGCTGATGCTGATTCTGATGCTGATTCTGATGCTGATGCTGATTCTGATGCTGATGCTGATGCTGATGCTGACGCTGATGCTGATGCTGATGCTGATGCTGATGCTGATGCTGATGCTGATTCTGATGCTGATTCTGATGCTGATGCTGATTCTGATGCTGATTCTGATGCTGATGCTGATGCTGATGCTGATTCTGATGCTGATGCTGATGCTGATGCTGATGCTGATGCTGATTCTGATGCTGATGCTGATGCTGATTCTGATGCTGATGCTGATGCTGATGCTATTGCTGATGCTGATGCTATTGCTGATGCTGATGCTATTGCTGATGCTGATGCTATTGCTGATGCTGATGCTATTGCTGATGCTGATGCTATTGCTGATGCTGATGCTATTGCTGATGCTGATGCTATTGCTGATGCTGATGCTGATGCTATTGCTGATGCTGATGCTATTGCTGATGCTGATGCTATTGCTGATGCTGATGCTATTGCTGATGCTGAAGATGCAAGCGAGGGGCAAGGAGCAGAGAGATGAAGATCAGAGAGATGAAGATCAGAGAGATGAAGATTAGAGAGATGAAGATCAGAGAGATGAAGATCAGAGAGATGAAGATCAGAGAGATGAAGATCAGAGAGATGAAGATCAGAGAGATGAAGATCAGAGAGCAAGAGGAGGCGCACACACATTCGAATGCAAGGCAGTCTGGCTGTTGCCGCTGCAGTCTAACGTGCCTCCTCTCTCCCTCCCCCTTCCCTCCTTTAGTCATATCTCTCTCCCCCGGTAGAGTCACAGCCACTGTAGCCACCCGCGCCACGCTCTGCCTCGTGCTCTCATTGAACCTCAAAACACGCCACTCGTGCCCCACCACGCGCACTGCCCCTTCTCCTTCCCATTCCTCTGCTCCCTGTGTGCATGGTGCAGGGAGAAGGGGAGAGCGGGCAGTGTCACATCCACAGTTACTGTAGCCACCCGCGCCACGCTCTGCCTCGTGCTCTCATTGAACCTCAACACCCGCCACTCGTGCCTTAGCACGCGCACTGCTCCCCTTTCTTTGTCTTCGCCCCATTCCTCCCCATCCTGTGGATGGTCCGAGCAGACAAAGGGAGGGATGCAGAAAGAGGGAGCGGAATTGGTTGGATCAAGGAGACTCGCTCTTCCTGGTGCTCTCATTGAACCTCAACACCCTCCACTCGTGCCCCAGCACACGCACTGCCCCGCCTTCTTTGTCTTGGACCCAATCCTCCCAATCCTGTGGATGGTTCGGGCAGACAGAGGGAGCGATGGCAGACAGAGGGAGCGGAATTGGTTGGATCAAGGAGCCTCGCTCTGCCTTGTGCTGCCATTGAACCTCAACACGCGCCACTCGTGCCCCACCACGCGCACTGCCCCGCCTTCTTCCCCCCACTCCTGCACGTCCTGCAGGGAGGGATAGGGGGAGAGGGGGAGAGGGGGCACAAAAACGATGAATCATCCACACTCTGCCTCGTGCCCTCATTGAACCTCAACACGCGCCACTCGTGCCCCAACACACGCACTGCCCCGCTTTCTTCGTCCCACCACTCCTCCCCCTCCTGCAGGGAGGGACAGATGGAGAGGGGACACAAGAGCGATGAATCATCCACGCTCTGCCTCGTGCTCTCTCCCCCAACCCCCGGGCCTCTCCCACCATCCCCCCGCGCTCTATGGATGGTGAGCGGGGAGGGCGGAACTGGGTGAAGAAACCACGCTCTGCCTCGTGCTCTTACTGAACCTCAACACCCGCCACTCGTCTCCCGCTCCTCTGCCCCACCCGCCCCCGCCAAGCCCTGCATGCCTAGGGTGATAATAACGAGGGAATGCAGCAGCTTGCCTCGTCAGACGCGGGGTGAGATGTGACAGCAACGGTGCCATTCCCCCAATCCGACCGATGGGAGAACACATCGTCTCCCGCCCCTCTGCCCCACCCGCCCCTCGCGTGCCTGGGGTGATAATAACGAGGGAACTAAGGAGCTTGCCTCGTCGGACGCGGGATGGGATGTGACAGAAACGGTGCCATTCCCCCAATCCGACCGTTGGGAGAACACCTCGTCTCCCGCCCCTCTGCCCCACCCGCCCCTCGCGTGCCTGGGGTGATAATAACGAGGGAACTAAGGAGCTTGCCTCGTCGGACGCGGGATGGGATGTGACAGCAACGGTGCCATTCCCCCAATCCGACCGTTGGGAGAACACCTCGTCTCCCGCCCCTCTGCCCCACCCGCCGCCCTGCGTGCCCCACCACTCCGGAGACAGGTCCCACCGGCCCGGATCCACCCGCGCCGCCGCGCGACGCGACGCGGAAGGCACCTGCACCTGCCGCGCCGCGGCTACGACTGGGGCAGGTGGCATCTGGCGCCGGGATGCTCGAGAGGAGAGATGGCGGGACCAGCCCGTATGTGACTGTAACGAGCTGGGGTACGGCGCTTGGGAGTGCAAAGGCTGTCGCTGGAGGAGAGTGTGGCTGTAACGGGGCCATAGCTGCAGTCTCGGGAACTTTCTGGGGAAATGGCTCGGACGATTTGAATTGCAGCGAGTAACCGTCTCAGCATTGACTAGAGACGTAATGTGGAGAGGGTACGACGTTGAATGGGATGAGGTAAGCAGGAGCGCTGGAGACGGCGCCGAATGCGCCATAGCGAAATTCATATGCATCGGGTAACAGCCGCAATTGCGAGACAGAAAATGTCCAGTCAGATCCTCGCTATTGAACGACCCAGGGATTCCAACAAACTCGTCAACGTAGAAAGCTGCACTCGATTTTCGAGCCTGAGTCCCCTCACCAATCAGAAATGCCAAACCGTAATCGAGTGCAGTACAACTGCCAGACCCGCTTAAGTTGCAAAATGATTCACAACCACTAAGTGTTAGCAATCTATCTTCTATGACATCAAACACAATAATATTATACAATGTCATTAGATTTCGATATGAGGCCTAGCAACACATACTACAAAAAAACACACGCCAATGTGTGAGTTATGAGCTTACATGCCCTGCGTTAGCATCAGCCTCAATTTCCAAAACCTGGGGCAACACACAACCCACCAGCACCGGTCTCCACTCCTCGCATTCCTCTGCACACTCCAGTGCCACCATTGCCAGAGAATTTAACACCTCCCCCGGCCAATCACAGCACGGCTGCATCTGACACGACTGGCGTGCCGCCCGCGCCACCACCTCTACCGCCCGGTGAATATCTGCCGCCGCCCAGCAAGCAGCCAGAAGCTGCCGAACCGCTCCACCATCCACCCACCCTGTAAGCAGATGCAATATCAGCAACCCAAAAGCAAACACATCCCCCGCCTCTGCTCCCCCACTCTCTGCCTTCCCACTCTCTTTCCCATCCTTTGTCAAGGACATATGCCCATCCATACCCATCTCCCTATTCAGCTTCGCAACCATTTTCCCAGGGTCCGCTGCAAGAGCTGCCACACCCGCCAGCAGCAGCTTGCACGAGTCATCGCGAGTCAACAACACCGTCTCCACTCCCAGGCACCCCGCCGCGACAGGTGGCGACTGCTGGTGCAGCCACGTCAGCGCGCGGCACGTCTGAGTCACAATTTTCAGCCGCGTTTGCCAGCTCAGCGGCCTGAGAGACCCACCGCCACCCAGATTCCTGCCCCCAACAGAGCCATTTCCCACACTACCACCCTCCACATACTTCTCACTCGTGCTACTATCGGGACTATTGAAACTGCCCGTGCTGCTGCTCCTATGCACCAGACTCCCGCTGCTGCTCGTACAACTCATCGCCCCCCCACCGCCGCTGCTGCCAGCGCCGCAGCAGGCGAGGCGACTGGCCAATGAGGAGCTGCCAGGTGGGCGCGGGTAGACGAGGCAGCGGAGGGATGGGGAGCAGCCGAGGAGCGGACAGATGTGCGCGTGCTCTAGCGGCGCGATGAACCGCTGAGCGGCAGCCTCGAAGGGGGACAGAGCAGAGGGAGCTGGGGAAGCAGAGCCGTTTTTGGAGTTCCCAAGGTTCGCGTTTCTTCCCCCCTGGGGATCTCCCGTTCCTGAGAGCCAATCCGGGCCGTTCATCTGCGCGGCGACAATCTGGATCCCGCCCATGCACCCGCTATAAGCGCGCACGAGCGGGTGGCGCGGCATGAGGCAGAGGCGGTCGCTGAAGTTCCCCGTTGCTCCCGCAACCGTGCCGGCGTCCAGATGCAGACAGCTGGGGTGGGACGGGAACGTGGAGAGGGAAGCAAGGGCGGGGGGAAGCGCGGAGAGGGAAACGAGGGCGGGGGGGAGCGCGTTCCTGTGCGGCGGGCGCGCGGCGGCGGCGAGACTGGTGCTGCTGCTGCGCCGGTCGAACGGACCGTTGAGATCGAGCGGATCCGTTGATCCCGCCTCCGCCGCGTTTGCCGCCGCCTTAATGTCCTCCGAGCGGCGGAGGAAGGACTCCGCGGAGGCGCTTGCTTCCCCCCGCGCGCCCCCGCGCGACTGCGGAGTCTCCCCCTCCACCAGGGTTACTTCCAACCCCTCCGCCTCCGCGTCCCCCCGCCCGTCCACCACGACCCCCGGCTTCAGCGGCGCATTCTTGCGCGCGGCGGCGGCGGCTCCGTCCGCCGACGATTTCTCCCCCAATTTGTTGCTGCGCGACGCGTCGAAGTAACCCGGCGACGGCGGGCGCTGCTGCGACAGGTTCGACTGCAGCTTGAAGCTCCGGCTGCTGTCCGCGGGAGACGCGGACGCGGAAGGACGGCTGGGGCTCGGCGATCCCAAGGACTCGCTCCTCTGCGGCCCGGACTGGGGTCCCGACAAGTCTTGCGAGCTCGTGCGCCAGAATGACGTCAGCTTCGCGCTCAGCTTGCCCGATCCGGACGACGATGACGTGGCAGCAGCGGGGGATGCGGAGGCCGTTCCGGGCAGGGAGGTGGAATCGCGCTGTTCGCGCTCCGCCGGGGGGAAGAACTTGCGCGAGCCCGCGGGGGAGAGAAACCCCCGCGGGGGGGTTTGGGGCGCGGAGACACAGTGCGCCTCCCCCGCAGCAGCGTTCCCGCGGCGCGCCAGTTCCACGACGGGAGACGCGGCGCAGAATCCGGGGCTGCCGATGGTGATGTCTTTAAGAACCTTCTTACCCTGCAGCACGACGAGCCGCGCGTTGTCCGGGAGATGCGCCGCGAGAAACGGCCCGGATAATGCGTCGATAATCGCTATGGCAGACCGCTTTCCGAACATGCTGGGCCTGCGAGGGGTTGATAGAAAGGCAGATGAATGCAGGAAGTGAAAAAGGGTCGCAGAGAGAAAGCAAGACAGAAAGAAACTAACCGCCGAATGAACATTCGGAATAGTGTATCGCGAAACGCAGAAGTGCGTGCTGTAGCGTACTTGGCGGTGACGAAGACGCGGTGGAAATCAGGGGAAATGGGGGAAGGGAACGGGTAGATAAGGGAGGGGACGGGGAGAGGAAATCGGCGCGCAGCGTACTTGGCGGTGACGAAGACGCGGTGCGGCGAGAGCTGCTTGGCGATCTCGAGCAGCCCCGCCTTGCGGTCGTCGTTGCGCACGACTATGGCCTCCACCTCCGCCTGATGGGGGGAGGGGGGGAGAAGGGGGAGGGAAAGAGGGGGAAGGGAGAGGGGAGTTGGTGCGGCGACTGCTGCTTGGCGATTTTCAGCAACCCCGCCTTGCGGTCGTCGTTGCGCACGACTATGGCCTCCACCTCCGCCTGATGCGGCGACGGATGGGAGGAACGCAGGAAAGGAAAAATGCTTCTCTTAAACCCTGCAAAAGCTTGAACGAGCCCGTGTCGCGCAGCAGCCGCCACACAAGAAGTCGGAACAGTAACAGTTTGACAAAGAAAGAACAGGATATACCGATTGTCATTCTGCTCCGACTGCTACTAAGACAGCCAGGCAGCCACGCAGGATGTGAATCGGAGAGCAGTGAGTAATACCTCGTTCTTGCGCGCGAACTTGACGAGCGGGTCGAGAATCAGCGCGCGCATGTTGCTCTCGTGGGTATCCGCAGTCAGCGGGCTGACCTCGCTGATTGGCAGTCGCATCATATCGCCTGCCATGCCAGCCATGGGGTAGGGGACCGAGGAAGTGGCGCAGGAAAGGAGGGCAGTAAGTAATGGTACGAGATGGTCGTGAGCGGTGGAATGACCTCGCGGATGAGCAGTCGCACCATGGGATGAGCGCTCGCCAAAGGGGACACGGAAAGAGAGATGAGTTATCAGTCCGACTGAAACAAGATAGCGATGGGTGACGCGGCTCGAGGCTGTCGCGGAATCCGTCAGTTTCTGAATCAACTCAAAGCCAGTAAACCGCTCATGCAGCCTCGGTATCACCGTCGGCTCGTGCGACTCGAGAACGCGAATGCGGCTCCTTTGGAGGAGCCCCGAAGCTCAAGGCCGCGAATGCGGCTCGAATGCATTCCGAGCAACGCGGGGCGGGCTTACGATCGATGGAGATGTGCGTGAGGACGTGCACAAGGTGGATGCGCGCCGATTCCGTCGCGCCGCTCATCTTCCATTCCGCAATGGCGAACGAGAGCGCGTCCTCGCTGAGACTCAGCGACCCATCCCGCGCCTCCACCAGCCACGCCGCCATCGCCGCCGCCTTTGACCCGGGGCGCTGCTGCTGCTGCTGGGGAGGAGACTGCTCCTCCTCGCTCTCCATTTCTTCCCGTTTGATAGCCACGATGCGATTCGGCGAGCCCGCAGATTGCGGTACCGTTCCGCCGTATGATGCGGCGGCAGACACGACTGGTTATATTACGTTGGATACGACACCCCACCACGACAAACCAGTTTTGGGGTCGCAAGGCGAAGCTGAGGGAAAACGCTCACTGAACTACATGTAACAACTGGGCACGATGGCGGATTTGGGGGCCAAGGAGCTTCTTGTAGCTGCAAAACGCTTACAGTGGCTGAATTCGGATCGTGTGGCTGCGGATCAGGGCGTGTTCGAAGTGACCATCGTAGCTGGATGTCGCTCGATATCGGTGCATGTCAGCCCTCGGATTGTAGATTCCGACCGTCAGGATTCGCCGACATCCGCAAACGGTCTGTGGCTGTTTTGGTACAGTAATAGAAGAAAGACGATTGGCTTTTTCCTGCAAAGTGAGGTGGAACGAGGCGATGTTCGGCTACCACAGGGGTTGGGAGGGAGGGGATGGGGTGGGGCATCGAAACGCCGAGCCGCCTGGTTCGACACTTCGGTCAGAAAATAAAACTGCAAAAAAAGTGTCGGACGTGAGCCTAAAACGCGACGCGAACCCCGCGCTAGGCATGAACCCGCGTCGCGTCCTCCCCCACATTCCCCCCCAAGGCGGAAAAACTCCGCCCTAGTGTTCAGGGCATGGGAAGTGCATTCCCGTGGGTGGTCCAAGGCCACGGGGAATGAAAAATGCGTGCCCCCTTCCACGATTTTCATTTATAAAATTACCCCACCCAATAAAACACAAATATTACGGATCTCGAAATTATAATGCTAAACACATAGACTTAAAATTAACTCGCGAAATTAATATGATGTCGAACGTCATTTTCACCCTTAGTTTTATTTACAGTGTACAATATTTCAGGTATAAGAGTTACCCAAACAAATCGCAACAGTAAGTTCGGGAAAACTGTTCAGCTCGCGAAGTTTCGTTTCGCGCGGCTGCAGTTTCGTGGGCCCCCATTTCCCGAATCGCTCGTGTGCGCTTTTTCCCCCACACGTTCCGCTTCCGCCTGGACCCCCGACTTGGAGTCAACGACAGTTGACTCCAAGCTGACCACCCCGAACTAGAAACCCTAGCTGAAATTTCGATCCCTCCCCCCATCCCCCCGTCGATGCCTTGTGGCAGCCGAACATCGCCCGAACGAGGCTTCGTCGTGCGAGATCTTGCTTGCGTTGCGCGAGCGGTGTGCCTGATTGGTGAAGAAATGAAGCCGCTAGTATTGGTGGTTGAGGGGGGTTCGGTTGGTTTGGGATGGGTGTATCAGGAGGATGTGTCCGAATTTGTGCACAGCGCTTCGGTGGTTGGTGGGGTGGGGTGGGCAATTAGCTTTGACTGACATTGCTCTGACTGTTTGCTAGGGACAATCAATGCGGCAAAGATGCCGAAGGAAAATGGGGTACTGTCGATAATCGTTTCAAGAACACCAGGTAGCCAGGCAGGAAGTGCATGTAACAAGTTTTTTGCAATTCGCTCAGTTCGCCTTCATCGCCAAGGGAAGAAGAGTGATTGTAAACTGAAAGTGGAATGTCAATGTTTAAGTTTCGTAACCACGTAAACATTTGGGAAAATATGTCAATGGTAACTTACATGGGGCACTTTAACGCGTACGGTAACGATTTCAACGCGTTTGGTAACTCGCTTAACGCGTTTGGTAACTCGCTTAACACGTTTTGATAACTCGCTTAACACATTTGGTAACTCTACACTAGCAGTGTTATGAGTTGTAAAAGAGAGTGCGCAGGTAAACGAATAACGAGACTGTGACTGAATGAATCTGAGAATACAATGAATGCGAGAACTAATGTAGGCTAGCCTAGCTAGGAGGAAACCTCGGACGAGCGAGGTTGGGTGCAGGTTTGGCGATGGAAATGCCGAAGGCGACGTGAGGAGCTTCGGCAGCGTGGAAATCGCCCGAACGTGCGAACTCCGAAAATCGGGTTGTACGCGCAGTAGTCAACCCCGATAAGGAATTCGAGAAAATTCCTTACACCACCCCCCCCTTAAGAAAGGCGGTCAATATCCGAAACACGCTTGCGCGCCAAGTAATCACCAACAAGTGGCGAGGCGTCGAGCGAGGCGGATGGCACCCACGTGTCGTCCTCACTGGTGCGATCAGTCCAGCGGATTAGGAAATCCACGTGTCGGCCAGCTGCGTCAAGTCGAACTCGATGGGCGAGAATTTTCAATGGGTCGAGTGTCGGCTCTGGGACAGGTCGAGCTGTCGGGGCAGCTTGCTGACGTGCAATGTCGGTCGTGGCTGGCACGAACTTGCGAAGCAGGCTTACGTGGAAGGCGTCGTGAATGCGCCAGTCGTCTGGTAGCAACAGCTTCGCGGTGACAGGTGTCACCATCTTGATAATCTTGAACGGTCCGCAAAATCGGGGCCGTAGTTTCGATGGACCGGGCAGGTGCAGGTTCTTCGTGTCGAGGAGCACTAATTGCCCAGTAGTCAAGACGAGTTCCCGGCGTAGGAGGTCGGTGTATTTGCGGGAAGTAATATTCGCCTTGCGAATTGCGTCTGCTGCTTTCTCGCGTATATGCTGAAGTTCCGTCACAAAAGTTTGTGATCGCGGGACCGGGTTGTCGAGCGAAGTTGCCGTGGGCACCGTCGGATCCATCCCGTAATTCAAGAAGAACGGGGAGTGATTAGTCGTGCTCGATGGTGCGTTGTTGAAGGCAAACTCCAACATGGCGAGGGAATCTTCCCATCGTGCGGGGTCGGGGCAGTTTGTCCGTATCAGCTGCTCCATCGTCTGGTTGGTTCGCTCGGTTTGTCCGTCCGTCTGTGGGTGGTAGGCCGATGAGAACTGTAGCTTCGTGCCGTACTGCGCCCATGTTTCCTTCCAAAACTTGGATGTAAACTTCGGGTCCCGGTCGGTGATGATCGCCGAAGGGATGCCGTGTAGTCGCACGACCGTTGAGATGAAGAGGCGCGCAGTTTCTTCGGCTGTGATCGTCGTTCGGCATGGTGCGAAGTGCGCCATTTTCGTGAAGCGATCGACAACGACGAGGACAGCGTCGTTGCCGGACGGCCCAGCTGGCATCCCCGTGACGAAATCCATCGTCACCTGTTGCCACGGTCGTTCGGGTGGCTCGAGGGGTTGCAGCAGCCCAGCTGGTCGCTGTCGTGTCGATTTCATGGCTTGGCACACCCTGCATGAGGACACGTAACGCTGCACGTCGTTAGAGGAATCGGGCCAGTAATATTGACGGTGCAGTAATTTCTGGGTTTTATCAACCCCGAAGTGTCCGGAGTAGTTCGAATCGTGGACCTCCTGGATGAGGAGTTCACGCAGCAGCCGGTAAGCGGGGACCCAAATCCTGTCGGTGCCGGCTTTTAGGTAATAATCCCCCTTCTGCGTCGTGGCCTGCTGATGATTTCCTGTCGTGAAGAACGGGTCCGTAGTGTAGCCGTGGGTGAATAGTCCTGTAAGTAGCGGGTTCGAATGGGTGATCAGTACAGCAGCGGATTGTACGGTCGGTCTGGTCAGGGCGTCGGCGATGTTATTCGCCCCT